CAGCAGCAGGAAAATGCCGATCAGCAGCCCGGTCCCGGCGAAGAAGAGGCACAGGGCCCCTCCCGCCCCGCCCCGGGGGCGTCCCACCAGGGTCACGCCTGAAGGAAGGAGCCGGGTTATAAGTAATCTAAGCTCCCAGCCCCTCCTCCCTCTGACCCAGGGGTTCAGGCCCCCAGCCCCTCCTCCCTCTGACCCAGGGGTCCAGGCTCCCAGCCCCTCCTCCCTCAGACCCAGTTGTCCAGGCCCCGACCCCTCCTCTCTCAGACCCAGGGGTCCAGGCCCCAGCCCCTCCTCCCTCAGATCCAGGGGTCCGGGTCCCAGCCCCTCACCGGTCTCCTTCACTCGTTCCACCAGGATGATAGTGTTGACTCTCTCACCTCGGCTGCGCCGCTGGGGGGCCCGCTGCGTGGCAGGGGCCGGCTGATTGGGGGGCCCTGGAGAAGCAGGGGGGTCCGCGATCGGGGAGGAGGAAAGAGCGGCATCTGGCCCTTTAGGGCTAGAGCTCTGGGAGGCCTTGGGCTCAACAGTCCCAGGAAAATCAGAGGCGGGCAGTTTAAGGGAGTTGGGCTGGGTGGCTGCAGGGGTTTCTGGCTCGGGGGTCAGGGGCAGCTCGTGGAGGGCAGTAGCCTGGTCCCTGGAGGGTGCGGGTGTGTCTGGGTGAGGACTGGTGGAGGTTTCAGGGGCAGAGTCCCTGGCGATCTCTGTGGCACCTTGGTGGAGGGTTGTGGGGAGTTTTGATTGGGGGATTTCAGTGGGGCCGGGGTGGTGGGTTACATGGGATTCTGGGTGAGGGGTATCAGTAGGGTTGGGGTGGAGGGTCTGAAGGAATTCAGGGCTTGGGGTCTCAGCGGTGTTGGGGTCATGGATTTTTGGAGTTTCGGGGTGAAGGGTTTCGGTGGGGTCAGGATCAGGGACCTCTGCCTGTGGGATTTCAGTGGAGTTAAGTTTGGAGATCCCTGGAAACTCCTGGTGTGCAGTTTGGGGAGGGTCACGATCCAGGGTCCCAGGAAATTCTGGGTGTGAAGTTTTGGAGGAATTAGGTTTGGGGGCCTCAGGGGATTTGGGGTGTGGAATTTCAGGCAGGTCAGTGGTGGGGGTCTCAGAAGGTTCTGGATGTGTCATCTGGGAGGGGTTAATTTGGGGGGTCTCCAAAGCTTCTGATGTTGAGGTGTTGAGTGAGTTATGTTTGGGGGTCTCGGGAGACTCTGGGTGTGGAATTTCCGGCAGGTCAGGCGTGGGGGTCTCAGAAGGTTCTGGATGCATCATCTGTGAGGGGTTAATTTGGGGGGTCTCCAGGGCTTCTGATATTGGGGTGTTGAGTGAGTTAGGTTGGGGGGTCTCAGGAGACTCTGGGTGTGGGGGTTCTTGGAGGTCAGCGTTGGGGGTGTCAGTGACGTTATGGGGAGAGGACTCAGGGGAACCCGAATGAGGCGCCTTGGAGGGCTCCGGAGAAGCCATCCCAGGGGGTTCCGGGTGCGGCTGGTGGAGAGTGGCATTTTCAGGAGCAGGAAGAAGGGGTTCCGAGGGGAGGCCCATCCTCGGGAAGTCGGAGCCTGCAGCTGGTGAGGCCGAAGGCGCTGCCTCGGAACCCCGCCCAGCGAGGAGGAAGACGAGGAAGAGGATGGGGCCGAAGGCTCTCATGGCTCTGGAAGACGCCAGTCGCTGCCGGGGAGCGGGAAGAAAGGGGCTCAGTCAGGAGGTTGCCCCGAGTCCCTGCCCACGCCCGGAGGCCACGCCTACCCAGAGGCCACGCCCACGCTCGGAGGCCACGCCCACTGGCCCCCAGACGGACCGCTGTCCCTGCCCAGCTGATCCCAGGGAAAGCAGAACCTTACTGCAGGTCCCTGAAGGTTGGGGCGTTGGCCGCCGTAGCTAAGGGACACGGGCGCGGGGCTTCTTGGGAGTCGTAGTTAATTTCCTTATCTGTTTCCCCAAGGGGGTCCCAGAAAAATTGGGGGTAAATGACACCTCTCCAAGTCCCCAGACCTCCTCAACTTCGACTTCAGAGGATGTCGATCTCTGAATGAACTGGGGGTACCTTCCTCTCCGAGGGCCCCAGGGACACCTGGACTCCATAGTTGTTTACACCAGGAGGCTCAGGAGGAAGGACTGGGGCTGGGGGCTGAACCCCTGGATCTGAGGGAGGAGGGAGACTCTTGGGTCCTGGGCAAGAAGGCTGCTGGGGGTTCAGACTCCCAATTCCCAGAGGGTGGCGGCCCTGTGGGTCAAATTCCTGCTTCTTTAGAGAGAAGCCTGCAGGTTCGGATGCTGAGGGTTTTGAGGGAACCAGGCTTGGGGGGCTGGGTTATCGGGGAGAAGGACATGGGAGTCTTGAACTCCTGGATCCTGAGTGAGAAGGAGGTGAGGAACTCTGAGTCTCGGGTCTTGCAGAGATAGGGGTGTAGGGGTTTGAACTCCTCAGCCTGCAGGTCTCTGTTTCCTGAGGACGGAGCTTAGAT